GGATGAAGTTTTTAGAGAGAGAAAGTAGAGAGAGAAAGTAAAGTGCAGCCAAATGAAAGGAATGAGTGAAAGGGGTCACCTTATATATATAAGGGTGAGTGTGCGGCTGGAGGGTGGGTGTGCGGCCGCACACGCCTCCTGATAGAGTGTATGGCCCGAATGTTGTACTACGATTTGGTATTACTCGACCTAGAACTCAACCTTTGATTGGACGAGGCTTAGAAAGTATCATCACACCCTTAAACGGTGTTAAATGACGATAAAATCGAGTTTAATATTGATAACATTAACTGATCTTACAAGTTAGAAATTTCGGGTTGTCACAACATTGAATATGTGTTTTGTTTGTTTTTCTATTGGTTTGAGTTGAATTGAAGACTGAAACATTTGTTGTCTTTCTACTGTTACCTAATTTGTTGCCATATGAATAAATTAGAAAATTACAACAGATCCTATAACAAAAAACACTTGAAAAGAAGAAAAAAGAAAAGGAATCCACCATGTGACTGCATATATTAAGTATTTACTAGTTTTACATACATTCTACTTCACTATTTAAGATATCAAATAACCACTTGAAAATTTTCACTAACAGGAGGGTTACTAGGTGATTTTGCATGTCTATGATTTAAGTGGAGGCCTAGCTCGTCAACTCTCCATGTCATTCTTAGGGAAAGCCATTGAAGCCATATGGTAAGTGTAACGTCCGCATATTCGGACTAGTCAATTTAGAGGCAATAAACGTGAAAATATGACTTTTGATGCAAGATTATTTAGAATGAATAATCTTAACCAAGTTATAGTATATGTTACAAGGGTTCCGTACATAAAAAGAACGCTGAAATCCGAGTTATAACGAAGAAGTAATGGCCCGTCGAAGTTTTACGGCTAAACCGGCACGACACCGTGTAACGTAAAAAGTGAATTTTTGATAAATTACTTTTTAGCCTTAGAGATCAAAATGAAAGTTGTAGTATACGTTAAACCGAGAGCGTGCATAAAAACAACGCCCAGATCTGACTTCGTATAAGGAAATTATGATTTTTCTAATATTTGGCATAGCAGTGCACAGCCCGGAATTTGAATTTTAGATCGATCAATTTTTGGCCAACGCAACCTAAATTAGAATTGAAGATCTCATTAATAGGAGCTCAACAATAAAAAGACAGACGAAAACGGAGTCCGTATGTAAAAGTTATGAATTTTACACGGTTGTTTAACAGTATAATCTTCTCATACTGTTAAAATTAAAATCGGTCAAGAATTAGCCGATGGAGTCAAAAGGATAGTTGTAGATCTTGTCAATACCTACGCATGGATATAAAGAACGTCGAAAACAGAGCTCGTATGCGAAAGTTACGGGGTTTAGAAGCTGGCAGGGTGCTGCTGAAAAAGGGGTGACGTGGCACAATATAGTCCACCCACGTTTCGCCACCAGAATGGTGACATGTGGCACCAACTCGACGAGTTGGAGGCCCAACTCGATGAGATGAGCCATATTTCAGCTATAAATAGAGGTACGAAGGTGCCTTCATTCCTCACACCTTTACCCTCTTCTTTCTCTCTCTACACACTCTCTAACCCCCCCCCCCCCCCTAAAGCCCTAGGAAACTCCCCTAGAGCTATAAGAAAGCTCCGGAGCACCCGAAGGCTCCGAGAAAAAGAGCTTTTCGGCTCAGAAGCTATGCTCCAGCGGAGCCCGGTTTTTAGCAAAACTCGCTGTAAGTGAGATACGCCTACCCTACTTTAAATATAGCTTATGTTTAGATATAATATCGTTATTATGAACCTATGAATAAGATTTATCAATGATTCAAAGTCGTTATACTGATTGATCTAGTTACGGGAATGATGTCTAGGTTGTGATTTAGTGAGGTGTTTAAAGTGGGATTTCCAAACAGTATACTTCGTATACCAAACGGACCCTACCTCCGATATGATCCTACCTGGTTGTTTCTTACTTGATAGATCATGAAAGTAGACTTTGAGTTAATGATGAATCTAGACTAATAATTAGTCGCAATAAAGAATAGACTAAAACTTAGCGATAATAATGCTAGGTTTCGTCGAAGGAAAATAGAATCGTTAGAAGCGAAGCGCTGCCCGAGTTTGGAATCATCACTTTGACAAGTGAGTGCATAGTTACTTTCATCTTACACATAGATATGAAGTATTTTATATAAATTGTGTGCTATGTGTGCATATTATTTGAATACTTGTTGTCTATGCTGAATGAACGATTTTATACATGTTTTAAATGAGTTAAATTGTATATGTACTTTATATCTACGAATATGTTGGGTAAAACATGGGTAGATGAATGAGGAGGGATGAAAGAGAATATAAGTAAACACTGGCGACTATGGACTTAGTGCCTATTGTATAAACCCTGCGAATATGGACTTGGTGCCTATTGTATAAACTCTGACGACTATGGACTTAGTGCCTATTGTATAAACCCTGGCGACTATGGACTTAGTGTCTATTGTATAAACCCTGGCGAC